CATTAGGATTAAAGCCTGATTGTTTTTTTGTACCTTTATTTCTGAGAGTGTACCTTGAAATTTGATCACTAAAATATTTCAGAAATCATAGTATTTTTGCATTAATGTTTGAGTCCGTTTAACATCTCATGCATGAAACATCGAGTCATCAACTGTATGAAAAATTTCTATTTTAACCCTTCAACATCCACTCAGACCTAAACACATTCACACTTTGGACCTGACTTGGATGGTGCAGACTTTCTCTTTAGTTCGATTTTGACCTGTGACTCTACATGAATTCAGGCAGCACCAAAGAACTGAACCGCGCTGATTCACAACGGAATTTAACACCAGAGTGTGTTTTTTCGACTGCAAATTTTTGCCGTACTGTCTGCACAACCTGCTGCTTTAGAGCTTATCATTCCTGCACTGCAAGCTGCTTCAAATAATGAAGGATGAGTAATAAAATAATGATATGCATTACATTATGGATTATGGAGCATATTTTTGGCCAAGCTTCAGCGACCTGGTCAGTTAAATTTAAATTGGTATTCACAAAGATGGTAAGCGTCTCTATTTTCTGTTGTTCAGTTTTCATGGTGGTGAATGTGAGAGTATGAGAGCGCTGGCGTTCCTGCAAAACTTCTGCTCAATAAACAAACAATTTAGTCCACTTTAGCCCCTGCAGTCCTGCAGTTATCAACTGTGTGGAATCCTGTCTGCAGTCAGACTCTCCACGTTTCTTCTACTTTGAGTTCCGAGTCTTTTCGAGTCATGATGCTCAAGTCTGAGTCAGAGTCACTGGTGTTGAAGTCAAAGTTGAGTCCCAAGTCTTTGTCAGTTATGTCTGAAGTCATCAAATTCGTAACTCAAGTCAGACTTGAATCCAAGTCACATGACTCGATTCCACACCTCTGGAACTACAAACTTCAACAAAGCAAGAAAACTAAATCTTGACAATGAAGAGAGGTTCACCTGAGCACCTCACTGGGACGCCTGTCTGCCTGACAGCAATTTCAGATAAAGTGTTCTGGACTGACAGCTAACAGGACGCTGCCTGGGCCTTCCATGAGGGGATGGATGAGCAACAACAATGGACAAAGGTCACTATGGCACTGAATAAAACATGATCAACATCACACGGAAAAAGCACTGAAAAACAAACTCATCAGCTCTCTCAGCTTTACTGACCACTGACACAGGAAAAGAGAAGGTCAAATCAAACTGAGTCAAAATGGACAGAAGATTCAGCACAAAATGTCCCACAAACACTCTACAGGACAGCTGAGCAGAACTATTCTCCTATTCTCACTCCTTTAGGTGCTGTTTTGTTTCTTTTCAAATTCAATTCCAAAACGTACTTTAATTTTCATTGATTTTTCATTACCCGTTGGTTGATTCACAGTTTTTATGAAGCACTTTGACCTAAATTTACGAAACATGCAGGGTTTATTATTATTATTATTATTATTATTATTACTGTGTACTGTGTAGTTACATGGTACTAGGCATGGTATAATTGTTCTAGTTTAGGTGTTGGGGACTCCCTCAGTCTTCCCTGACCTTTTTTCTACAGGCTACACCACCGGATATGAATAGTATCAACACCATAAAACAGTAAAATAAGCAGATCCGAAGGGAAAATAACATTGCTTCAGTTTACTGTACTTGTGTATGTAATATTTCAGAAAAAACAATAATATAATTTTGTGTTACAATTTGAAAACAGAGAATAAATCAGTGTAATGTAGTGAGAAAATCATAATCTTATATATCGCTGTTGTCGGAACAAAACCTCATTTCTCAAAAATGGTAACTTTACAGGAGAAAAAAAACATAGTTTACTTTTAATGTAAGTCAATAGAACCAGGATTTTTTCCAGGTCATTTTGGGCTTTTTCTTTTTTGTCTATTCACCATGAAATTTACAAACAATGTAAAGAGCAATTGGCATTTTTAAATTATGTCAAAATGGATATACAAGGTCTTCATTTTATATATATATATATATATATATATATATATATATAGTATATATATATATAATGTGTGTGTGTGTGTGTGTGTGTCTATAAACCCCATTAAATAAAACCCGTAGTTTTTATTGATCATCTCTAAGCCGATCGGCGATGTTTATCGTTGCTGGTTGGAGTTTATTGCTGTTCACTGCTGAGAGTTTCAGCAGGGCGAACGGGCGCGTTCTCTTTTTAGCTCCATCTCAAATCGCTCCCTACTCCCTATCTAGTGCACTAAGTAGCTCTTATAAAAGCTAATAGCTTCTACATCCAAACAAGGCGCTGTAAATATAATAGAGTCATTTGGGATTCAGCCACAGGCTGCACGACTTCTCACTGGACATGTAATTCACTATTTTGGTGTAGATGCCATCGTCTGACCTGCGCTACAAAGAGAGCCTGGAGCCGTTATTATCACGCTTTTAGGCAGCTTAGTTCACTATTAGCATAATGAGCTACATTACCGACTTAGTAAAGCGTGGGAACGAGATCCTAATGCATGGCCACGACTTAGTAAGCCATGATTTCATTCCCACGCCTTACTAAGTTGTGGCCACGCATTAGGATCTCGTTCCCACACATTATTTTTATTTATACAAGATGTCACCAGCGGGGCTCCGTAGGGGGCTTTCACTGTGAGATGATTTTCTTTTCTAACTCTGCGTTTTAAAAATCTCAGACGCTGCAGACTCGATCTCCACCATCCCCCTGATTACCTTCGTGTACGGAGCCCCGCTGGTGACATCCTGTATAAATAAAAATAATGTGACTCAGTAAGGCGTGGGAATGAGATGATTAAGTCGTGGCCATGACTTAGTAAAGCGTGGGAACGAGATCACGGCTTACTAAGTCGTGGCCACGAATAAGGAACTCGTTACCATGCTTTACTAAGTCGTGGCCACGACTTAATCATCTCATTCCCACGCCTTATTAAGTCGTGGCCATGCATTATTTTTTATTTATACAGGATGTCACCAGCGGGGCTCCGTATTTGTGTGTTAATGTTGATGATGAAATATTACAGTGATAGTGGTGAATAATGAGGAGACGGAGCTGAACGTGTGTGTGTTTATTAGGAGGAGTAACGTTAGCGCGCTCCGCTAAAGTGCTTCTGATGCTAAATAAATTCTTTAATACAAATTTTTAGCATCAGCAAATTACCTCAGCTAATAAGTGCGAGGCTGAAGCTTCTTATTTGCCAGCTTCTATTTAGAATTTCCCCATTCCACCTTAAATGGTGCAGCAGTTACACTCTGGTGCCTGAGGCGAATCTGTGGGCGCAGAATGCAACTGTTGTACTGTTTAAGGTGGAACGGGGAAATTTAAGTAAGAAGCTGACTTTAGCCTCGTTTACTCAGTCAGTCAGGAGAGCTAACGTTAGCTTAGCATTAGCAAATTACCTCAGCTAATAAGTGCGAGGCTGAAGCCAGCTTCTGTTTATAATTTCCCGTTCCACCTTAAATGGTCTGGCAGTTACACTCTGGTGGCTGAGGCAAGTCTGAGGGGGCAGAATGCAACTGTTGTACTGTTTAAGGTGGAATGGGGAAATTTAAGAAAGAAGCTGACTTTAGCCTCGTTTACTCAGTCAGTTAGGAGAGCTAACGTTAGCTTAGCATTAGCAAATTACTTAGCTAATAAGTGCGAGGCTGAAGCTTCTTATTCGCCAGCTTCTGTTTATAATTTCCCCGTTCCACCTTAAATGGTGCAGCAGTTACACTCTGGTGCCTGAGGCGAGTCTGATGTGCTGGAATGTAACTGTTGTACTATTTAAGGTGGAACGGGGAAATTTAAGTAAGAAGCTGACTTTAGCCTCGTTTACTCAGTCAAGAGAGCTAACGTTAGCTTAGCATTAGCAAATTACTTAGCTAATAAGTGCAAGGCTGAAGCCAGCTTCTGTTTATAATTTCCCGTTCCACCTTAAATGGTCTGGCAGTTACAGTCTGGTGCCTGAGGCGAGTCTGATGTGCCGGAATGTAACCGTTGTACTATTTAAGGCGGAACGGGGAAATTTAAGTAAGAAGATGACTTTAGCCTCGTTTACTCAGTTTAGTCAGTCAGGAGAGCTAACGTTAGCTTAGCCTTAGCAAATTACCTCAGCTAATAAGTGCGAGGCTGAAGCCAGCTTCTGTTTATAATTTCTCGTTCCACCTTAAGTGGTGAAGCAGTTACAGTCTGGGGCCTGAGATGAGTCTGAGGGGGCAGAATGCAACTGTTGCACTATTTAAGGTGGAACGGGGAAATTCGAGTAAGAAGCTGATTTTAGCCTCGTTTACTCAGGTAATACAAATGTTATTAAGCTAGGTGAGCTGTTAGCCCAACAACCCTTCATTCTGTAAGTATTCATGCTAGAGATATGTGGTTGTGGCTGAGCCTTTACTAAGAGGAGAATGTTTTTAATGGGCCCAAAGTGTCTGTTCATCATGAACTTTTAGGGTAGCAATAGGTGGAAAATTGATCAAATGTCTACTTGGCCAGTTGGCAGACAGTAGATCTGTTTCTACAGTGTTTTAAGCACAGATCTTTCATGACCTAAACACTATATCTGTCCACCTACACAGATCAGACAAAGGTATTAAAGTCAAACAGGATCAATTAGTTCATTTTTTGTTTGAATGGGCAAAAATCTTCTCACCTGACTGGCCTTCTATGGTGCTGCCACTAATGACCATCAACAGAGTGAGGAATTCAGGGATATACAATTGCTTTACGATCAACACCACTAATAGCTATACATACATAAATATGTAGCAATATATAGCTAATAAAGGTAGTAATAGTTTGACATACTTAATAGAAATATGAAAGCAAATAATCTGTGAAATTTCCTAAACTTCTCAAAATAGTTAAAATAGCTAACGTTCATGCTTCACGTCTTTACCTCACATATACTTTGAAATGAATATTTCATAAACACAATTCCATATTGTAGGTAGACATCATCACTCTGTAACTACTTTCACTACTATTATATATTTTGAAAAAGGCCTAATCTTTAATTTAATTATTTTACAGAGTGAGTAGCACCAGAGACCATCCCCAGGTCTGATTCGATTGGCTTACAACTTATGAGGTCTATATGATTACGCTTTTCCTCAGTGCTAGACAGCAGAGGATCGCCGTCTCTTGTTATGTTAGTAAATCAAAGTTAAAGGTAAATTTGGTTCCAGCCATTAGAGCAGACATTAGAGATTAAACGTTTGGGACCCACAGTCAAAAAAATAGTTAAAACGTATGTTTTTTTAATTACATGTCAATTTTCCATTCAGTTTAAATACATAAATCCAATGAAAAAAATGGTATTATAATTTATGTTTCTCCATCATGTTCAATAAACCTGAATGAATTAATGTTTAAATTAGAAGTGCTTGTAGGATTTATGCAATTTGAGATCACCTACAGTTACAAAAACCATGAACTGTTGATTTGAATATTAACGGAATCCCACCCACTGTTTATGTAATCTACCTTTTGTACCCGTTAACATGACCGCAGACACAAGGATGCTAGCTAGCTAGGTCGCTGGTGTTGTTTAGAGTATCTCTCAAAATAAGCAAAATAAAACATTAATATGTGGTCAAAAACATTAAAAACACAAGTTAATGCGCATCACTGTTTCATTGCAGTTGCACTGAATAACAAAGGATGGCAGGAGATTGGAGCTGTTTCATGTCCACCATGCCAGCTGAAGCAATTACCTGGTTGATGATGCGTTTCCTGTTACTATAGCACATGCGCACTGCCTCCTAATAAGATTTAGTGGAAAAATCTAACAGGTCTTATACAATTTAATTAAATCAGTTTGGGATTTATCCAAATTGGGTTGCTTCTAATGAATATAAATAAGTAAAGTTTATTATTATTAATGTTTTTAAATAAGTTTTATGTAAAATATTTGTTTAATGTTTATGATGGCCATAAAATCATTTTTTTGAGTGCACCAGCCAGAGGATTTCAACATCACTGAGTCTGGAAAGGACAAAAACTGCGCCTTCAGTCCAGAGAGGTTCAAGAGAAAAACATGGCTAATTGTGAGTGCAGCTAAAAACACTCTCCTGCTCTCCTCACCTGCCCACTTGAGTTCATTCATGGATTTGTGGACTTTGAGAGAAAGGGTTTGGCAAGTTTGCCCAGATGAAAGATCATCGTGTATCTTCTCTTTTCGAGCAGTGAACTTCGCTGGTGGGTCATTCTGCATTATTAAGGCGAGTTATTCCTAAAGCCTGGAAGGTGTGTTTCCCTGCTCTGGAATGTTGTTTGGATGTGTATTTGCAGACCACAGTGATCATAAACTGCTAGATAACTTTAGATTTGTAATGCGATGCTGTTTAACAAGGTTTTGTGAGATCTAATTTTGTTATCATATCACTAATGTTCTCCGCTTCCATAACTGCACAACGCTAATCTGTGAATGTGTAATTTCATTGATGGAGTACTTTTGTGTTTGGGATGGGCCTTAGTTTCTCTAGAACAGAGCATTTCACACCAAACCACTCTGAATGATCATTTCATTCCGCAGAAATTAAGGGGCTGTGACGATCAAACCATCTGCACCTTTAAAAGTGCAGTTCAAAGAAATGCGCTGCACTACATTACAATCTTTCCTCACTCATATTTTGCTTTTCAGAGATAATTTCTCTGGTTCTACATCATGAAGAAGTGCAGCCCACAAAACGGCACTGAATGTCATCTTAAAGTTAACAAGGAATTTTCTAAAAAAGAAAGTCAACAATCCCTTATAAAACAAACAACTCATAAGAAAACTTGCATTCAGACTTAATTCAGTCTTGTTAACAGAACAAAGACAGAATCTACCAATAAACAGATTATTTTAATTGACTGAAACCAAAAACATACATTTTTATTCACATACAGGTTCTCTTGACTGTGATCAGCCTCCAAAACCAACAAGTGAAAATAAAACATTCACTTAGTTTCCCCCATAAACTTCACTGAGAATTAAGACGAGGGACCCTGCATGTTCGATCTTCTGGAAGACAACATTGATTCTGGAAACTTTTGGGGATTAAAAAAATAATAATAATAAGATGCCTTAAACTAGTCCAGTTTGTACAAACTGTTTCATTTTCAGCACAGAAAACTAAACCTGAAGCACAAAAAGAAATACCGCACACCCCACATAACACTTACTTTACTAATAGACAATTGACAAATGATGCGGTGTGAATCATGAATTTGAAGGTGTCATTAAGATTTCAGGAGGCAAATTTATTTATTACATGTTTATTTATAAAAGGGCAGTTCAAAGTGCTTTACAAAGTGCTAAATAAAAGCAAAATAAAAACAATACAATAAAATAAGGGGGAAAATAAAAAAACTAAAATGAATTAAAAAAAGTGCAAAGTCTAAACAGAAAGTGAAAGATGGACAAATTACAAGCAAATCTGAGATCTTCGGGCAGCTGATTCCAGCTTCGAGCAGCAGGCGAGCTGGTTTAGTGCAGCCAAAAGAACTTTTATGCTTCATTTGTTTGGCCAAAACTGTTTCTGCTACATATTGAATACAGTTTATGTAAAGAAACAGAGTTTTAGGATTAAACAGGTGAAGGCTGACATCCTGCATCGCTTGGGGAATCAGTGTGTTATCCCAAAATTCAAACTGAATTTTGGACAGCTGATATTTTACAGCAGATATATTATTGTGCTGTACTTTAATTTAACCAGCGTTTTCCTATCAGGTTTTTTAGGCACTTTGTGGAGGCTGGATTAAAGCTTTGATTTGGATCCATTAGTACACCCAGGTTTCTGACTTGGTCTTTAGATACTGGAGCTCTGAAGTGTGCACTGACCTTTCAGTCATCTTTCCTCCTCACTGCCAAGTAAAACAACTTCTTTGTTGATTTAGCTGGAGGACATAAAAGATCCTAAAATTCTATTTAAGATTTATTTCTCTAACACTTTTTACAACGAGCGTCACAAAGCAGGTTCAGAGAAAATCCAGGTCCGAGCCCCAAATGAGCGACAGTGGCAAGGAAAAACTCCCTAAGAGCAAGAGGAAGAAACCTTGAGAGGAACCAAGACTCAAAAGGGGAACCCATCCTCCTCTGGGCGTCGCAGGATTTGCTCTGAGCACTGACTCAAAGTATCTATGGGACCACAGGCTTTTGTGAGAGAGTGAGGTAAACCTGGGAGTCGTCAGGATAACCGTGGTAAGTGATTTTGTTTTCTGGCAGGATTCAGCCTAATGGGAGCATGTAGAGAGACTATGAAGATGTTAATGGAATATATGAACAAACTGAAAGGGGCACAAGGCAGCTTATTTCCTAAAGCAGGAGAACATCCTGGTGAAAATAGACGCTCTCCTAGGCTTCTCTTTTCTTGAAGTCGCACTGATGGATCCACCTGCAGAAAGAAGATCTCACATTCAGTGTCTGCATACCTAATAATTGAAATGGCTATTTTACTAAATATGTAATGCCTGTTTTAAAGTTATATTGCCATTTATTAAATCTAAACCACACATAAACTTAATTAACAATGTAAACTTACTCATATCAGCAGTGCGGCGACTCTGCAAATGGTCCTGATCTGAGGTATGACTGTCATTATTGTCCTTTCTGGATTTCTGTGATGTGAGAAATTGATCATATTATCAACCTCGTAATCATTTAAGTCTCACCACAATTCAAAGTGTTAATATTATTAATGCATATAATATGTTAATAATATGATGTACATAATGTTATTGGGCAAAAATAACATTAAAACTACTTAAAAATAATTCTTACCTTTTTGAAGATGCTGAGTTTTGGCATCTTGAGATGGAAGATGATGTTCTTGAGCTTCTTCAAGTTTCCGTTCTTCGCCCGCCCTGTTTCGGGCACCGCAGTTGAAGCATCTGCATCTAGATGCTTCCGTAAGGCAGTCATCACGGCCTCGTCAAAGGCAGAGTCCAGAGGGTTCAAAGCTTTGTGCAGAGAACCTCCCTTACCAAACCTTTGAAGGAGCTCAACAAACGTACCCCTTAGAACTTCCTCTAGCTTTGCAGCACCAGAGGATGCAGAGAACTCGCTGAGAATTCTCTCAATCAGCTCTTTCGGATCGTTGGAGCTCGCTTCTTTTGTCAGGTCTGATGAAGGTGCTGCTGACTGTGCCAGATTTCGAAGAACCAGCCAAGTTGCCAGGCTGGCTTGATCCTTTGTGTCCGACTTAAGCAAGCATCTGCTTGACACTTGGCTTGGTAACAAAAAATCGTCAATGGTCTGGCTGGAGACCAAAGGTTCCTCTTTGACAGAGGGAGAGGAACCAGACTTAACCAATGTAGGACGGTGCAAGTCTTTAGGGTCTGCATTCTTAATTGCCCTAACGATGGAGACTGCCAGAGATCCTGCCAACAGCTCACTCTGGGCTTTTACAGCTTCAATAAGCTGGTTTTCGGATCCGATTCTCCGAAGAACCTCTGCATACACAGCATCAATGATGGAGCGGTGAAGTTTTTTGAGAGCATGTTCTCCATCTTCTACTGTGACAGCAGTAAAAAGGGCTAAAATTCCTTTGACTGTGTCCGTAACATTCTGGACCTGGTCCTCATCAATTAAGAGAGGAGATCCATGAACCCCAGTGGATGACATCTCCTGTACTTTGCGTAATATTGCACGTATGCAACAATGGAGAGCATCCACGGAAATGGTTGGAGGAGATGTCTTGAGTTTTTCAGAGCTGTGTGAGTCACTTTCAGGTGTCTCTTCAGCATTTGAATCCACAGCATTCAACTCATGATCAGACAGTGCCGACACTTTGTCCATCACGCTGTTCACAATTACTTTGGAGAACAGATCCATTGTGTCAGCAAACACCTCAGATGGGGGTCTTGAGATCTCAAAACTCTCAGGAGTGACTCTGAAGGGCATCACCAGACTTGGAATGTCTTTAGCAGTGGTAGAAGCTGGTCGAGGGGCCATGCAAGACATGAGCAAACATTTTACTGACTCGTCTGCAAATTCAGCAAGAAACTCAGAAGCAAAGGACCGTTGTAGGTCAGTGTGGTTCTGCCGTCTTCTCGTGCCAAGAACAGACTCTGACATGTTCAGAGAAGTTAATCTGTCCATCAGTATGAGCTGCACCATTTTGGCGAACTCCTGAGGGGCTGTGGTCGAAAACAGGTCCTCCACTCTTTTTGCTGCTGCAGCTAACTCCTCAAGAGAGTTAAAAGCACCTGAGCTCTGCAAACCCAGGGAGGCCATCATGGTGCCCAGTAAAGAGGCCATTGAAACCCCCTCTCTGCTCTTGGGTGACTCATGTTCATCAATCACTGATGGTCTTTGAAGGTGTGATATCTTACCTCTACCCTTAGATGACTCAGGAGTAGGGGTCCCAGGAAGTAAAACAGTGTGCTCAGGTGACACAACATGACGAGATCTGTCTGGATCTAAAGAAAGTTTGTCCATGTTTGGTTCCTCTGAGCTGCGATCATTTGACAACAACAAGCCAAGGTGGTCTTTATTTGCCAGAAATGTCTTGTCAACAGTTCCCCCAACACTGATCTCTGAAAGATCGACCTTAGGTGCTTTCTGCTGATACTTTGCAGAAAAATCCCTTAGGTGTCTCATCGCACTTTTATAAGTAGTACACGCAGTGTACCACAGAATCCCTTCAGAGGCGTCAACACCTGATTCCATCCAATCCAAAGGTTCAGAACGTGTTTCTTTCAAACCATCGGATAATATCGTGGAATCCAGATGTTCGCAAATTCCATCAATGACGGAATCGACGAGGTCGAATGCCTTAACCAAACATTCAGACGGAGTTGGTTCCACACTGCAATCTCTTTGGCTAGTGTGAGCACGCCGGGAATGTGGAGAACTTACAAGGAAGCTTGAAGACTTGAGTAAGATTTTACTCACTTCCTGAGCTGCCTTGGTCCGAGTATCCTCATGCTGGATTTTCTGGAGGCTCTTAGCTGAGAAGCTTTGAAGGAAAGAAGGTACCTGACGATCCAGAGCAGTTGCAGGTATGCCGTCTCCAAAGGATGAACCTGAGACCTCTTGAATGTAAGCCATTAAATGGTCTACAAGCAACTCAGACATGAGAGATGTATCAGAGGAACATTGTCCAAGTACTGACTGAGCATCCTCAGATACCTCAGACTTCGTAAATGAGTCCAGTTGGACTAACAGCTCATCCACAAAGATTTTGGCATATAAGGACGCGTTCCTCAGAGTTTGTCCAGGAACGGAAGTCTCCATCTTGCAAGCCATATTTGACAGTTTCATAAGGCTGGGAATTCTGTGAAAGGACTTAGCTCTTTTAAGTGCTTTATCAGCCATGCTTTCGCTTGCACCACAGGCTGAATCAGAGCTGATATCGTCACTGATGGGTGAACTCTGAGAGGATGTTGTTGTGTCACCCAGCTCGGATAGTAAACATTCAACAAAATCTGTGACGCTCATCTTCGGAGGGCAAGACAAATCTGACGCACTCTTGAGTTCTTTGGCTTGATAGATGGAGTAGACCTCAAGAATGACATCTTTTGCACATTCACGAAGTTGTGCCTGATCTTTGGACATCAGATTCTCAGCGCTGGGCTCAACAGACCCACATGAAGATGCCAGGAGCTGGTCTGTCACATTTCTAGGAAGCTCAAGCATGTGAGAATCTTTCTTTGCATCAAGAGCGTCAATGACGGTCTTCACAATGGCATTCATAACTTCTTTGGTGACTGACACCAAAGAATGGTTTGAGGATCCTGGTCTCTCAAGGAAAAGCGACCTGGCATCCATATTTAGAACTTCACAAAGCTTCGGAATGACGACTTTCCGTGATACAGTGGTCAGAATCTTCTCAATGTTTGTGTTCATTCTGGTTATTTTGTCCCTCGTGAACTACAAGCAAAAGAACATATTGACAGTATTAGTCATCACTAGCATTGTCTTACAGGGTTCATCTGCTGTGATTTCACAATAATCATATTACAATAAAAATATGATTTAATTGTATTTGAATGATAAAAGCTCACCATTTGATGCATTCCGCCTAGCATCACTTGTAGTTGCCTGAAAGATAAAAAAAATGCAGAACAGCCATTTAGTGCTAATGTAACAGAGACAGCGACTTTTGCGCTAAAATGATCATAAATGTCAACAAATTCATCATTATTGAGTCTTGTATATTTAATAACCCTAGAGGGAAACGTCATGTCTGTTAGCTTGTTTCATTACATTTTATTGGTTACCAGCTGCTAAAGAATCAGGATTAACCAATCAGGATTCAGATCTGTTACCATCACATTAATAATTTGAAAGCTAACCCGCTAGCAACACAGCTGTAATGGAACATAAGCCATAATAAATGCTATATGTTTTTTATTCCTTATGCATAGTAATGTTATTCATATGTATATTTCATATTTGTGTACTTGTATATACAGTTGTACACTGTGCTGGATATTTGTATATTTGTATTCGATACTGTACATTTGAGTAATTCCTGGCTGCACCACTCAGTGCTGAGTACATACCGATCAGTCAGGCTCTGTAGGAAACGGGAGACGTCCTGAGACTTAGCAGACTCACCAGGCTCCGAGAGAGAACCTGCTGCTGCGTTACGAAGAGCTTTCTCTGCCATGTTAGACTCTCCTGAGATATTAAAACACAAAAAACAAGAAATCAGGGAACTGAAATACAGGTAAACCTACCAGATTACACCGTCACACAGAGTTACCAACTTCATCCCACAGCAGCCTTTGGTTTGGTATGACACTCAAACGTTAAAGTGTTTCCACCATTTCTCCTGCTGACAAAATAGCATTCTCCACAAGGGGGCGCGACTAGCAATGCGTGCGTTATAGCAGTTTAGCAATCATTATGAATACGTCACTGTCTAAACAATCGAGCATAATTAAAACAAATTTTTTATCTTTATCAAAATTACTGCAAAAACCCTGTTTGTACAGCAGACGATACAGCATTCTCCACAAGGGGGCACTATTAGCACAATAGTTTTCATGTGCATTATTGAAAGGAAGGAAACCACCTCAAGTTTAAGATTTTATAACAGAATTTTTTAAAATCTGTTGGTATTATTTTGGAAGATACGTTGAAATTGAGTATTTGTACTTTTACTCAATAACAACAGTAAGAGAAAACAATTTCAATAAGAGTAACAATTTTACTCCTCTCATTTTCATTTAGACCTTCAAAGTACTCATAGTACTTGTACTCACAGTACTAGTAGCCTAGCAATAACAACATCAATAAAAATTACAACAATACTAATAATAACTGATAATTGATTGTATTAAATAGAATAACCAGCATAAGTGAGAGAGAGAGAGAGAGAGAGAGAGAGATAGAGAGAGAGAGGGAGAACATAAAAAGAGAGAAAGAACAGAGACAGAGAGAGAGAAAGAACAGAGAAAGAGAGAGGTAGAGAGACAGAGAGAGAGAGAGCGAGAGGTAGAATGGGAGAGAGAGAGCGCGAGAGATAGACTGAGAGATAGAATGGGAGAGAGAGAGCGAGAGAGATAGAATGGGAGAGAGAGAGAGCGAGAGAGATAGAATGGAAAAGAGAATGGGAGAGAGAGCGAGAGAGATAGAATGGGAGAGAGAGAGAGCGAGAGAGAGAGAATGGGAGAGAGAGAGCGAGAGAGATAGAATGGGAGAGAGAGAGAGCGAGAGAGATAGAGGGAGAGAGAGAGCGAGAGAGATAGAATGGAAAAGAGAATGGGAGACAGCGAGAGAGATAGAATGAGAGAGAGAGAATCGGAGAGAGAGAGTGAGAGATAGGATGGGAGAGAGAGAGAGCAAGAGAGATAGAATCGGAGAGAGAGAGCGAGAGATAGAATGGGAGAGAGAGAGAAAGAGGGCATATATATTCTGGTTCTTTTTCTCAACTTTTTTTTTCTCTATGCTGGTTCTTTTTCTCTATTTTGGTTCTTTTTCTCTGTTTTGGTTCTTTTTCTCTATTTTGGTTCTTTATCTCTGTTTTGGTTCTTTTTCTCTGTTTTGGTTCTTTTTCTCTATTTTGGTTCTTTATCTCTGTTTTGGTTCTTTATCTCTGTTTTGGTTCTTTTTCTCTATTTTGGTTCTTTATCTCTGTTTTGGTTCTTTTTCTCTATTTTGGTTCTTTATCTCTATTGTGGTTCTTTATCTCTTAGTTTAATGTCCTGATTTGGTTCTTCAGGTGTAAATGAGTTTAAACTGTACTCACCTTTTATCTGGTTGTGTTCGGGAGAAGATCCGCTCGGTTCTGTCTGAAAATACTTTGGGTTCTGGATAAACGACGTCGCACATCCGAACTCTATGAGGTCAACAAACCGACTGAACACGAGGCTGAAAACTCCCGCTATTTATAAGAAGGCCCCGCCCCTTTGTGACGTCACAGACGCCGCTCGGTTACCATGGAAACCAGACTCTACTGTGTGTGTGTGTGTATATATATATATATATATATATATCTATATATATATATGTGTGTGTGTGTGTGTGTGAGTGTGTGTGTGTGTAAGTGTGAGAGAGATAAAAGAGTAAACAACCTAATGAATCCCTTTTTGATGACATGTTCTTTAAGGAACGTGTTAGTGGTGCTATTTTGTTCAGCTGCCCCACAGTTTATAAGTTATTAAATAAACTTATATAGAAGTAAAAAGCAGCAGTGATCAGTGATGGAAGGCTGGTCTGACTTGCTTTCCCTTTATAACCATGTAATGATTTAATAAGCCACAATATCAGTCATGTCATTGGCAGCCTGACTGTCTGCTGAAATATCATGTAAGCAGCTCCATCAAAATCTCACTTAAATAAAAGGGGAACTCCACCAATTTTTCAAAATAATTCTACATAATTAAGCAGTTAAGATGTAAAAAAGCCATTGAGAGTGGTTACCAGGAATTACGGGTTGCCATGACTACAACACAAATATAGACATTTTATGTACTATCCAGAACCACCAGTGAACCTACACGAGTCTTCTGAGTTTATATGGAATGTTGATGATGGAAAATAGTGGAAAATCTGAAATAATAAGTTTTCTTTGCCTCACAATGCCCTGTATGTATCCCTCCACCATGAATGGAGTTTAAACATAAAATCTCCTAAACTATCATAAAACAGCGTCTCAGACACCAGGCAGTGAATTCAGAACCATTTCATGTAGTAATTTAGACAAACATCTTCTCAGAACTATTGTGCCACTGTTGCATGATGCTGTATTAGACAGTAAAACCAGATCAAGAGGCTCAAGCAGATCTTCTTTGAGCTCTTGGAGGAGACAAAATTTGCAGTGGACGAAGGAGAGAGTAGAGCACTGCTGCCCCCTGCTGATGGCAGAGGAGAGTGCAGGCTGAAGTGCTTGGCTTGGCTGTCTTTAGAGGACATGGCAGCAGTCTTCAGGCGAATGGCCTCCTGGAGACATTCGCTGGAGGCACCTTCCGGGTTGGAGAAACTTTGGGAGAGACTGTTTGGGGCTTCGGCAGAGTGACCGCTAACTGTGACTGTGATGAGGTGGTGCTCGGTCTGTCTTCAGACTCGCTGGGTTCTTTGTGGGTTCGTTTCTCAGTAGTGTTAGTCTTTACTAAGGAGCCCTGCTGGTGAAATAATGTTGTGGCCATGACTTAACAAGGCATAGGAACGAGATCCTAATGCGTGGCCATGGCTTAGTAAGATCTTATTCCCACGCATTACAACTTAAATATCTTGTTCCCAAGCCTTACTAAGTTGTGGTCACACATTAGGATCTCGTTCCCATGTGATAATATGGCGTGGCCACGCATTATTTTTATTCATATGGGATATTAACAGCAAGTGATGAACTCACAGAAGAAGACGTAAACGTAAACGTAACATAAAACCCAAACTTCACACGGCTTTTTTAAAATATTGAGCTACTTTACCTGAAAATATGAACCGACATCATCTAGAAGATGAACAATATTCCTTTATTTTGTGTTTGGTTTCAGTGCCTCTCCAAAACGTGTTTCGCTGCGTCTCACGACATCCACCGTCTGATCTTGCACATGCGCAGACTGAGAAATACGATTTAATATACACTGAGAAGTCTGAATACTGTGCGAAAATCCAGCCTCTTTATCAGATTTCTTAATCGGATTTCTAGATTGGAGTACGCTGTTTACATGATCATTTGAATAATCAGATAACTGCAGAAATCCGATTATGATCGGATTATTGAGTGTATGTATACGCACCGTTGTTTTCAGAGATGTGTAGATTGGGTTATTCTGATTTAAGGGAGCTATAAATCCATATGTTTTTGTCCGAGTGTGACCAAAATATGGAATATAATGATAACAATAAGGAAAATTTGCAAAATTTGGTTTGCATTGTCCACCGTAGGCCCCTACAGCGCTCAACTCAGTGCCAGTTTTGTAAAATTTTAATGTGAGTTTTCACTTAATTTATGTTTATTTTTCCTTCTTGGGTTTTGCATGTGTCCCTCTATTCATTTCACATTCCATTACTTTTCTGTCACTGAGAATTTTGCC